TTGGGGGGATATTACCTGAAAAAGAGAAGAAAAATAACAAAATATCATGTAGAAATGTCACCCTGAAATGGCCTCTGATTCAGATAGTATAAAACTAATTAAATTAAGAATTGGTACCTCCACCACTCACTAATCATGTGAAATCGATACTGGCCAATATAATGGCAAAATAACACCATAGGATTAAAAAGTAAGCTGGGCACTAACTTCACATTTCTGAGGATGGGATGAGTGACAAAAATACAAGTATTAAATTCTAGGACAAGAAAATGGATTTCGGAAACAATATCTATACTGGCCCCAAATGAGGGGAATTTGCAGGGTGGGTACAGTTATTCCAGTTCTACAGACACAAGGAGGATCAGAAGAGTTAAGCATCTTGCCCAAGGTCACACAATTAGTGATGTGGCAGGGTCAAATTTTAAAACTAAATTTGCTTGCTCTGAAAGCTGTTTACACAGTACCAAAAACAGAACGAATCTGTTTCAGAAATACATTTTGGGAGAAAAGTTATTACCAGAGAGAGAAATAAAACAGGAGGCCCTGGAATGCATTTCATGTGTGGGTGAAAAGAAGGAATCTATTATGAAAATAAACTGTACTTGATTTAAATATTTTACCATCTAAAACGTATTGTATATGCAATATCCCTCCTTCAGGCACAGGAAAAAGAAATGAGGTAGAGAAGACCTAATCTGTAACGCACAAGTTGTTCACACCATCCCCACACCAAAATACTCTTTACCCACCCTTTACTCCTCCATTAGATAGGAACAATGTATTTAGGAAATTGAGAGCCCTGCTCAAACACTGGGTATAACTGATCGAAGAGTAACCATCTATAATAAAAACAGCGTAATGTGCTAATTAGACCAGACATCCTTCCGGACGACCTTGCAGATGAAGCCAGGGCTGCGAGGGAAGCCTGGGTCCCGGGTGCCTGCAGGCGGACAGAGGGAAACCTGGGTCCTGGGTGCCGGAGGGAAGCCGGTGTTGGCAGCCGGGGGAAGGAAGGCCTACTCTTGCACGAATTTTGTGCATCGGGCCTCTAGTATCTTTAATAAGGAATCAAATGAGAATGGCCACGTGGCTTATTTCTGGCCAATGAGATACAAAGTAAAGTATTCTTCAATGAGGAAAAAAGGGGGGACATCTGTAATACTTTCAACAATAAAGATAAAAACAAGAGTCCATCAAGAAAAGCATATCTGAAGGATGTTTATATTTTTTTTAAAAAGTGCCCAACCAGTGTGGCTCAGTGGTATCGACTCATACACCAAGAAGTCACTGGTTTGATTCCCGGTCAGGACACATGCCCGGGTTGCGGGCTCAATCCCCAGTAGGGGTGTGCAGGAGGTAGTCGATCGATGTTTCTACCTCTCCCTCTCCCTTCCTTTCTCTGAAATCAATAAAAATATCTTTTTTTGTAAAATTATTTTGAGGAGATCTTTTGAAGTCAGGATCTTTCTCCTCTATAAAATGATTATCAGATATTTATTGAGCACTTATAACATGCCAGTACTACACTAAGCACCTATGCCACTACTGTATAATATCTTCCTGTATGAAACATGAAAAAGGAATAATCTCCCTTTCATTGTACCTGGTATGTAGCCTTAAGAATAAGCCAACATAGAACAGAAGAAAATGAATCCTTGATAAAACCTTGTATCAGTTCTATCAACCAATTCTGAAGGACGGACTTCACATTATAGGAACTACTTTTTGTTATTTTAACCAGCTTGAGTTGGAGTTTCTGAGGTTGCAGCCCAAGCTATCTAATAACAATACTTTGTGCTAGAAAACAGTTTCATATAGTGGGAAAGTCATCAGAGGTTCCACATCTATTCATATAGCTAGTCTTTAGGAAAACTGAAAGTCACCTAAGGGGAGAGGGACATGCCATTCCTTCTGATTCCTACCTTCATCTACACTAAAAGCTAAGCTCTTATAGTAATATATGGAAATAACACCTTCTCAACTAAAAATGTTGATGACTAAAATTCTACTGAAAACAGAAAAGGAATACTGGAGAGAGAAGCCTTAAAAAGCTAATGTCAAAAAAAGAAGTGTGTGTGT